TGTCTAGAACTGTTGATGACATAAGAAAAACAGTATTTAGACAAAAAGAGCTTATTTTAAAGGGATTTGACATGCTTAAAAAGGGAGGAGTAATGGTTTATTCTACTTGTTCAGTATTAACAAAAGAAAATGAAGAAGTAGTAACTTATTTACTAACCAAAAGACCTAATGCTAAAGTAGTAGGATGCGATGTAGACGTAGGACGGCCAGGATTTCCTACTTTTAGAGGTACAGCTTATCATCCATCAATGAGTTTAACAAGAAGAATATACCCTCATGTACACAACATGGATGGATTTTTTTATGCTAAAATACAAAAAAAATAAATTTTTATATTAAATTTTTTTTATAAAATATTAAAAAATGTATAATCTTTTTTGTTTAAACTAATTAGTTTTGACGTTAAATGTTTTTAAATTTTTATGAGAAGAATTTTTGATTGCAAAAGTATTTTTTGTGGAATTTAAATTCAATTAGCAAACTTTTCTTGTGTTCAAAAAGAATCGTTTTTTTGAAAAGTGGGTTAAACTTACAATTTACAAGTTAGAATTTTATACAAATTAAAATTTACACTCTTTTGTATACAACGCAAGTTGATTTATTTATGACTGTAAAAAAATTTTAACAGGTATAACTTTAGCAAATAGATATAACTTGTGAACATTACACATAGCATAATAATCTTTCAAAACATTGCCTTAAGATTCTTATCAAGTAATTGTATTTTTAAAACAAATCACGATTAATCTTTTTTGTTATACAAACAAAGATTAATAATGCCAGCTAATCGAGACACGCCTAAATATAGAGATGTACAACCCCAACACTTTTATTCAAGTGAATGACGGCTTTATACCTTACAATAAACACAAATTAAAGATATCTTAGACTAATCTTAAAAAAGATTCTTACAAATTATACAAAAAAAATTAATTTTAAGTTTTTTAAATATGTTCTATTAAAAAAAGAAATATATGTATAAAATATAATGGTTAAAATAATTGTCTTTCTGTTATGTTACTTTTAATGTAAAAAAGAAGATAATACTTTTATACAACTTCTATAAAATAATAAGGTATATACAAAAAAAGAGAAATTATAGAATATTATTTATGCCTAATTTAAACAAAAAACATAAAAACTGATGAATATTTTAATTAAAAGAAATGGTCTAAAAGTAAGCAAAGAAAAAAAGCATAAATGAAAAAATTTCCTAGAATACCACGAGCATAAACTTCTTAGCGGTCTTTAGTTTATTAGCAGTGATAAAGTTATTTGATTTTTATTCTGCTGTTAAAATAATGTTAACAAATAAGGGCTACAAGATTATGAATTTTATAAAATGCGCAAAAAATAACGATGGACTTTTTAACTAAGAAACGATTAAAATTTATATTAGAATTTACTTTTAAACCTCACCCTTGACAAAAATTTATACTGTACAAAATATAAAATTATATTATGATAAATATTCACACACTAATAAATCCTAAAACTACTACAAATAAAATATTTTCTAGCAATAATAATACATAAATGTATACAATTTACTATTTCCTTATTTATTTGCTTATAATTTATAATATTGATAACAATATTTTTAGTATAAAACCAATATAATGATAGCCGTCACTCATTTGAGTAATTAATCATAATTTACATACAATCAATAAGCCGATGATCAAAATTCAACATTTTACAAAGCATTATACAATTGTTAACACTCCTCCAAGTTAGTATAAAAATTTACAATACACTGACCTGTTTAATTTTTTAGTATAATCATTTCTTAAAGCAACTCAATCCCATCATATCTCTTAACACCTTTTTTACTACCCCGTCTCTACCTCTACCTCTTTACTTCCTTTATGCCTTTCCCTTATCTTATCTCTAGATTTATCTCTCTTTGATCAATCCTTTAAGCTTATGCTTTTATAAACAATTTTTTAATGACTTAGCTCCCCCGCTTGTGTTCTCTTATAAAACTTGTTTATCATGTAGTGGTGTTTAATTTACAAAATAAAAAAATGCTTTTTTAACTTTAAGTTTTATTCTTTTATCTAGTATTTTCTTTTAAAAAATCTCACTAAAAAGAATTTGACAAAATTTGCATTTTTTTTTTAAAAATTGATTTTGTTGACATGCTTAAATATCGATTCAATAGCTAAATAAAAAATTAACAATATATAACAACAAGCCCAAAAACGTATCATACATTGAAAAAACAGAACATACATCATATTTGTCGTACCTTTTTAACTAGATGACGTTAACTAGTATTGAATAATAATTTAAGTAACGGTGTAAATATAACTAATAAAGTTTTATGTAAAAAACGTTTAAGTGTCATTTAAATAAGGTCAGATCATCAAGCATTACTAAATTTTAAGCGGCTGCATTGACTTAAATAGTGATTATTATTTTTTATAAGATCTCAAAATTAATCACTAATGTTATGCTACAAGGTATGAAGGTTTCTCCTAATCGGTTAATTATAGTTTTATCTGATTAGTTCCTTGTTGCATTAACAACATTTCAGCGGGATGCCTAAAAAGTGGCTAATAAAGTTTGTGAATCTAAGCATGTTTGTCTCCTTTTTAAAAAATTTTATACAAATTTTTAGACATAAGGATGTTATCTTCTAACACAAAAAGCACAAATGAATACATAACTTTTAATTAATGTATACTTAAAATTTTATCATTTATTAGTACATTAAATTTTTAAATGTAACTTGTCTTAATAATTGTTTTTCCTTTCGCATATTTATTATTTTGTACCTTATTTTACCAAATTAAAATATAAACAAGTCGCAGTTATAAAATTGTATATAAAAACTTTTTACATAGAACAGGTTTACTTTGAATACTTATGTATTAAAAAAACATAAAGCTTAACAGCCATAAGCTCAGCTCCAGAAATATTTCCTAAATTTGTACTAAATGTTTTTTCAAAGATCTTATCTCTGTTTTGCTCACTTATTAAAAATTTATAATTTTCTAGATTTTTTAAATATTCTCCAAAAGTCTTTATTATCGATATTTCTTCTTTGTCTAATATAATCTTTCCATCTTCTATATTAAATTCAAAAAGGTGATATTGAGGATCTAAAAATTTTTGAAAGTTATTATTTTCTTCAAAAAGATCCTTAAAAAAATCATAAAACTGGTTTTGTATATTTATAAATTTTTTAAGATCTCTCTCAATCTTTTTAGCTGACTCTACATAGCCAGATTTCAAAAAATTACCCGAGAATTTAATTAATTCAATAATATTTTCTCGAAGAAAAAAAAATCTATCTTTAACAGCAAAGTATAAGCTATTCAAAATGATAGCAAAATCTTCTTTAGATAGCTTTTTATTTTTCTCGTTTGCCCTAATAAATTCATCGTATGCAGTTGAAACATCTAAGCTCCAGCTTCCAAAAGATTCTAATACCAAACTATTTTTTAAATCCAAAAAGGGAGCTTTAAAAAGCGCTGTAGAGGGATCTTCAGAGGGTGTTACTGAGAATTCTTCATAGAGTGTTGCAGAGAGTTCTTCAGAAGGTTTTTCAGAGGATTCTTCAGAGGTTGCTGCAGAGGGTTCTTCAGAGGGTGCTAAAACAAGTTCAAAGATTGTTGCTGTGGGTGGTGCAGAAAGTTCTTTAGAGGATACTGTAGAGGATACTGTAGAGGATACTGCAGAGGATTCTTCAGAGGATTCTTCAAAGGATACTGCAAAGGGTGTTGCAAAGGGTTTTTCAGAGGATACTGCAGAGGATACTGCAGAGGATGCTGCATAGGGTGTTGCAGAGGTTATTACAGACGTCATTGCAAAGGGTGTTGCAGAGGTTATTACAGACGTCATTGCAAAGGGTGTTGCAGAGGTTATTACAGACGTCATTGCAAAGGGTTCTTCAGAAAATGCTAAAAAGGATACTGCAGAGGATTCTTCAGAGGATACTGCAGAGGGTGCTGCATAGGGTGCTGCATAGGGTGTTGCAAAGGTAATTGCAGAGGGTGCTGCATAGGGTGTTGCAGACGTCATTGCAAAGGGTTCTTCAGAAAATGCTAAAAAGGACGCTGCAGAGGGTTCTTTAGAGGATGCTGCAGAAAGTTCTCTAACGAATGCTGCAGAGAATTCTGCAGAGGATGCTATAGAGGACGCTGCAGAGGAATCCTCAGAGGGTTCTTCAGAGGATGCTGCAGTGAATTTTTTAATAAAAAACAATCCGAAAATTATGCAAGAGATTACTAGACCAACTCCCAAAACAATGTATTTTCTATTGCTAGACATAAGGGTATAAAAACAATTTTTTTTTAAATTAAAATCTCAAAAGAATCAAACTGTAAATTGTAAAAAAAATATAAATTTGCTCTTGTTAGTTGATTTTAATAAGAAAAAAATTTCAAGCATGTTGTTATAAAACTTTTCTATGCAACTGTGGTGTCTTACATAAATATAACAATTTTATATAAATTAACTGTCAAGAATCTTAATCTGAATATGACATTAATAAAAAATTAAATATTAATTATCTGGCTCAAAAGGGGGGCACGATAAATTTAGATAAAAATAAAATAAATCATTTTAATCTCATCTCACTTTTTGAACAATACCTTAAAGGAGGATATGTCGGCAACGTCATTTAAAATCAAAAATTAGTTCTAAAATTTATTTGTATTTTTGCGTAAAATAAATATATTAAAAGAGGAGTGATATAATAGAGATTCATATTTGACCTCGCCGATTAAAAATTATAATCTCTTAAAATTAGGCGCAAAATCAAGAAGGGGAAAAAAGGAATGCTTTTTGCACAAAATTTAAATTTAAACCTAATAAATCGATTTAAATTTTAAGAATAAGTTGGCTTTTGTTAATTGTAAAGAGATTTAATTGCTTTTTTTTTAATCATTTATTGTTTTTGTAATTTTTATAGCTCTAAAAGTGAATATTTATTTTAATGAAATAGAGAATACATTTGAAAAAAATTGTTTTTAATATTATTATAGAAAGATTTGCCCGTAGTGTTAAGGCAAAGTCAAAAAGTAATTAAGGACAAAATATTTTACAAGGTACTCGTGCTATTTGTAGGAAAAAAAAAAAATTACAAGTAAAAACCCATTTTGTAATGATAAAATTAGCTGGCTTGTAGTTGCGAGAATTAAATTTCTATTTTTGTATAACAATTTGATTAAATCTATAAATTTTATTACGGGATTAAGTAAAAAAACAATCGGTCGTATTGCAAAACAAAATATAAAAGAGAATACACAAATAGGAGGACCTGGCGTAGTTGTTGAAATAGATGGGTCGAAATTCGGCAAGCAAAAATACCATAAAGCACATAGAGTCGATGGTGTGTGGGTCCTAGAAAGATTGAACGTGCTCTTTGCCAAAAACTTGTATTAACTAAAGTTAAAAACAGAAAGGCGGATACACTTACGGCGTTAATCAAAAGGTATGTCATGCCAGGAAGTATTATACAGACTGCTGGAACGGAAACGCCAAATTGAGTGCATTTACAGAATATACACATCATACTGTATATCAAAACATTGGTTTTATTAATAACCAAATATCTACACATTCAAATACAATGGAAGGGACATGGACAGGTGTAAAATTAAATATTCCTGCCAGATATAGAACATATAAAAAAATTAGTAATTTTCTGGAATTGTTTGCGGTTAAAAGAAACCAAAAATCTTTTGTATTTGAAAAAGTAATTAAATCTCTTTTAAATTAACAAAAACCGACTTAATTTTAAATTTTTAATTTATTTATCAGTATAATTTCAATTTTATGCAAAAAACATTACTTTTTTCTTCAAGGATCTTTTCTCCTTCTTAATTTTGCATCTTATTTTAGGGGTTAAAGATTTTTAATCGGCAGGGTCAAATATGAATCTCTATTGCATCCCATCTCCATAAAGTCTATTGTTTTTTAGTTTTCTTTACAATGATGGTATTTGGCGCAAAGTCAAGAAAGATTGTTTTGTGTTACAGCGCACATAGCTTCTTTTCGTAGAACAAAGATTTTCGTATGTTGACCATCTTGAAGACTGTTAAAACCGAATATTCAGGGACTTTAGGATGCATTTAAAGTTTTAAAGGTTTGTCTTGTTCTATTATCAATATTATAAGAATTTGGGCAAATATCTTTAAACTTTCTTGCTATTCTCACTTTATTACTTTGTATTTTGCTTCAAAATCAATTTAATTTATGTTAGAAAGTGAGGAATATTTCTTTTTCACTTTAAAATATTGCTTTTCTGCCGTCTAAGGCAAACTGCAATTGTAGTATAATTATTTCTCTTCTGTGCTTTATATTGTAAATCTTCTGCCTTGAACTTTAAAGGATGGTTTTTTTCGTCTTTACCTGCTGTTTTAATGCATGTAATGTTTAATTTATATTGTACAGATACTTTTTTTTATTTCTTTGGGTTTGTTTAACTATGTTTAATATATAGACATATTACTTAATTTGTGCGATTGCATTGCTTGTGTTTTAGCGCTTAAATTTATGTTTATAATTTTTCTACTATCTGTAGTAATTTAAGATCTCCCCATATATATGTTTCTCGGATGTTCTGCTAATTAAAAATTCTTTGTAATTTATATTTATATTCTTGTACTTTCAAGAATCTAGTGTACTTGTGACACTTTGTTGTGTTGGTGGCAAATTTATTTTAAATAATTATTAGTTTTACAGTAATGAAAAATTTATTGGTTTTTTTGACTATTTTTGTACAATATCATCATTTAATGCTAAAAATTGTAGATTATCTATATCAAATTTTAGTACATTTTAAATTAAGTACGAAAACAAAAATATAAAAAATTAAATGCGAAACAAAAATATTTAATTTATAAACAAAAAAGATTTTTTATAAAATATTATAAAAGTAGTATAGAGAGATGTTTATCTGCAGTATAGTATAATAAAAAATTAAGTATCTAGAATTTGTTCAAAAAAATGTCGTTAAAAAGTTATTCTAATTTTTTACTAAGTTTTCTAAAATAAACTTTATCTTTTATAGACTGATAATTTTAGAATTTAAAAAAAAAATTATAAATTTTATTATTAGTTTGTATATTGGTTTCGCAAAAATGATATTTTTTAGAATTATAGTTGTTAAGTAAACAATGATTAATGATATATTTTTTAACTTTAATACAATTAAAAACATATTTTGATATATATCTATAAGTCGTTAACAATATAAAATAACATTAGTAATATGAAACTTTTAAATAGAAAATTTAGGATAGTATAAATCCCTTAAGATGTAAATATATTACCAATATAAATAATTTCAAAAAATTCTATGCACAATTTTTTTTCATGCAAAAATGGTACCTGTGGGATTCGAACCGCACGCACTGATTAAAGTATCAGAGCTGAAATCTGACGCCATCGACCCCTCGGCCAAGGTACCTGTAAGGAAAAATAAAGTATATAACATAAATGTTTTTTAATTAGTCTCATTACTCACATAGAGGAAAATAATAACGTTATTTTAATTTTTATACTTTTGTTATGTCTTTTAGCATAACATAGAAAGCTGATATTTTTTTTATAAATAATTTTTTTTAATTTTATTTATCTCATGTCTCTCTTCATGGAATGGATTATTTTAAATTCTACTATTCATTTCATTTTTTATCATCTTCTGACTTTATTTTAATTTGTAATCTACTATATTATAAAAAGAAAAGAAAAATTTTATTTAATTTTTAACCCTTTTTTTGTACTTTTATAAAAATCTTTGTATTTTTTAATAAAAAAGAATAAAACAGGTTTTAAGCTTTTTTATGAGCCCACCACAATACTTTGTGCATTTTCCTGTAGTTTTATCAATTATATAAATCGTAAAATATGGCTATTGCAAAATTTAATTATTGATAAAAAAATTTATTTTATATTATTGAACAATACATACAAGCTCAAAGACATAGCGCACATTTAAAAAAGAGAATAATTTGTATTTATAATCCTATTTAAAACAGGATAGCGTAAGCTAGTCATCAATACATATAAAAAGTTTAAATATACACATTTATTTATTTTTTTACTCCTTTTTTAAAAAAATTGTAAAATATTTTTTATTTTTTATTAAGAAAGAGTAACATACAGCTTAGAGTTATTACTCTATAGACGTGTGGTATTATTCACATAATTTTACTTTTTTAATTTTTAAAAGAATTACAAAAATGAATTTTTTTTATTAAAAAAAATAATTTATGGTTAGGTAATGAATTTCAAAAAATAGAAAGATATAGGTATTACAAAAAAAGAACTTTATTTAACAATTAAAACTATTTTAATAAAATAATCTATTATATATTAGGACAGTACTTTCGTTTCGGCCACCTCACAAGAGGTTACGACAATTACATAAATTTAATTTATTTTTTATTCTTGTTGGTGAATTCTAATTGATTGTTTTGTAACCAATAGGAACAGAGAATCTAACTAAAGAAGGTTCACAATAATTATTTAAGAAATTTTACAATAAATATGTTAAATTGTTATAAAACAAATTTTACTTTAGAACACTTTTTTAAAATAATGACTATTGTTCTTGTCAGTATTGTAAGCCCATTTAAAGCGGTATAGAATTAACTTGTATCTTAATAAAAAAATAATATATTAATAATTTATTACAAAGCCAATATTACAGTTAATAAAGCATTCATATATATTTCTTGTAAAGCTTGTACAGATTTACTACCTACTGGATCATCATCTTCATCATCTTTTTGTTCACTTTTTTTATTTTTTTTCTTTTTTTTTGTTTTATCATCTTTCTTATCTTTTGTACCTTTAGAATCGGTTTTAGATTGTTTATCTTGTGTTATATTTTGATTCTGTCCACCTTCAGATGTTTGTTGTCCTCCCAGTGTAGATTCAATAAATAGCCCACCATTTCCTGTATATTGCTGTTGCCCAGAGTAATTAGTTGTAGGTAATGAACTAGAATTACTACTTAAGCCAGTTGCCAATGGTGACTGATAATTGTTACCTTGGATAGCTTGATTAGAGCCATTTGATTGACCTGGTGGATCATTATTACCGGTAGATATACCTGGAGTTTGATAATCTTCTACACGAATAATGGGATGAAACATCGAATTACTTACTTCTTCTGGTGTGGGAGCATACCCTAAAACAAATTCTCCTCCTCCTTGTAAATTATTATTTGTAGTAGCAACCTCATTTACAACAGAATTATAAATTTCTCTTTCAGTTCTAGGAGAAGATGATCCTTGATCTAGTGTTGTAACCGTAACTACACCTCTATCGTCTGTATGAATATTATATGTTACATTATCACTAAGAGGAATTATCTCTGGTGCAGAATCTGTTATAACAATCTGTGGATTGCGATTTGTAGTAGAAGTTTTAATAAAAGTTAAAACAGTAAAATAAAATATCATAAAAAAAAATTTTTTTACCTTATAAATTATTTTAAATTCTTAGAACGTAATTGACAAACAAACTAATTTTAAAATACAAAAATTTTTATATTAATTTATTATTTTAAATAGATTTATAAATCTTATTTTTTAAAAGTTCTTTTTGCATTTTTAGCATTCGTACATATTTTTCATTGTTTAATACTGTCTTTTTACCAATTTCATTTTTCAATATATCCAAAATCTTGTAAAAATCTTTAGCATTGACTTTCACTGTTGATAATACATTATAATATCTGTTTGATACATCTTTTATCCTTTTTTCTATGTCAAGTTTTCTTTTTTCATATTTTTTTATTTTTATATTAACTTTCTCAAAAAGTTCTTCTAATTTATTTTTTTTTAGTAAAAGACTATCATTTAGTGTTGTTAACTCATAATACATTTTTCTGTATCTATCTAACACTTCTTCTTCAAATTTCTTATAAATATATTTTTCATCAGAACTATCAATAACAAATGTAGTTTTTAAGTTATCTAAAACACTATTCCATTTATTGCTATTTTTATAATTCTCTTGTATTTTATTTACTTCTTTTTGTATATAAATTATATTTTCTTTACTAATTATAATATCTTTATCTTTATCCTTGTATGCATAGTCAATTTTACCTTTTAATATAATTTTAGGATATTCACACAATTCTAATGTATCATTATCTACTAAATATAATTTATTTAAATTATATATATTATAATTTTTAGTATTGTATCTATATTTAAGCACAAGAATATCATTTAATATATCAAATACTTCTACACAATTTTTATAAAATAAGTAAATATTTTTATTTACTTCTATTTGTACCATCAATGATTTATTACTAATATTAATAATATTTAGTGGATTATTAAGATTAATGTGTGTAATAGATTCGTAAAAATATTTTTTATAAATTTTATAATCAGTTGATATAATCCATAAATGATAGTTATCTACAGTAAAATCTATTACATTCTCACATAAAATGTAAGAAGAATTACATTTAACTACTACTATCTGATTTTTATTATTTAAAATCATTAAAAGCTTTTGATAAATTACATATTTTTTTACAATAACGTAAATAGTATTTTCCTTCCATACAATTTTATCTTGGTAAATAAAAATAAGTTCATCTTCTATAAAATCTAAAGAAATTAAATTAATTGTTTCTACATCTTTTACTATTTCTGGTTGTTGATTTTTACTTGTATTGTATTTTGATAGTTTAAGATTATGTGTATAGTATAAATAAGGGGACTTATACACTGCATGCGAGATATTATGCAAGAAAGTATTTTTAAAGAAGTGCATAAAGGGGGTATAAATGTATTTTAGAAGAATAAAATTTTAAGAAAAAAAGGAAGTGTTTAAAAATAAAAATAGTGTTTAAAAGGATTGTTTTATGTAGGACAGTAAAGATGTAGACATGTCAATCAGCAGTATTGGGTTGGTGGCTTTGACATGTTTGTTAAATAAACCTATGTTTTATACCAACATTTGATAATATTAAATAGCTTTGTGAAAATTGCTGTTACTTAAAATGTGATTATTAGAAAAGATGAGTTTATTTAAAAATAATATTATAAATGTAAACATGTAAAACGTACCTTAATAATAATGTGTGAGATATTTGACATGAAGAGCAGCATTCAACAAAAATGATAGCATTATAAAAGAAACCTTAATAAATCGAAACAAAAATTATGTTATGTTCAATAGAATTGTTACTAGAAAACGTAAGTGTTGGTATTTAACATGGGTTTATTTATTATAAATTATTTAACTCACAACATGTCAGATATCTCATGATATAGAAGATATCTTTGACATGTGTTGAAGCCATTCCTACAGTGGGGTTATTTATTCTAAAATTATATAAGATCAATGCGTATTAATTTTATAAATTATCTTCTTAATAGAATATTTCTATAGATCGAGAATAGATATTTTAATATCTATTTACTTTTAGAACATTACTTTTGTTTTGAATATCTTTCCTAAGATTATAACATTTTGTAATTAAAAATGCTTAAATATAAATTTAATTTACAGTTTTATAGAACAAAATATTACATAGATTACCACTTTCCTAACTTTTTGTGATATTACCCCTGTTCAGTCATCTAAAACTGTACTTCTATTATAAAAATAAAATTTTTTAATAATTAACTATAAACATAAGTAGAAAATAAACTTTTTGTTAAATTAAAAAAAATTTTAACAATTAGATTTATTTTTTAGTAAAAAAAACACCCGGAAACTCAATACCACATTCTTTCATTTGTAATAAAGTGCATCTTTTACCTGATTGAATATTTTCATCGGCCTTAGTTATTATTTCTTCTTCTACCGCCGGTTTAGCTTTAAATTTCCTACTCTTTTTAACATCTGGTACTTTAATTAAAATATTATCGTAGTTTCCGTTATATTTCAAGCTTTTATCAACTAACTGTAAATCTTCATCAAACACAAAGAAACCAGTCTCTTTCAAATTCAAAGATATAAAATTAATATAAGGATACCAATACCAATAATTAAAAAACATTAATGCTCCTACTAATCTCTCTTTAGTAATTTTATTAAACATGTTAGTAATACTAAAAATAATGCTTCTACCTCCCGCTTCACTAATTCCTCTTCCAATAACAGCACCAAACTTGACTGATCCTTCTTCAGATCTGTCTACAATCACTTTATTGAATTTACCGATAATTCTTTTATAATTTTTAATTAAAGTATCATTACATTGCATTATAACAAAACCCATACCAATTAGAGCAGATTGCTTTACTAATGAATTAGTATCATACATTAAACCTTCAAGTAAATCACATACCCTTTCATTACCAGTACCTGAAAAGAAAAATCCTAATACTAATCCTACAGCAGATCTAACAGCGTTATTATGATTTTCGGCTAAAGGCTCAAGTGTATCAAGTAAAAGACTATGTTCCATACAACAAATAAATCCTAATGCTATAATGGCATTTCTTTTCACATCATCATCTTCATGATTAATAAATGGTAAAACCTTAGAAATTATTTCTAGGCTACCAGTACCTACAAAAGCAGTTCCTAGACTTAGTACATCTCCAAATTTATTAGTAAAATTGTATTCTTTTCTTGTAAATGCTACTAGTAGTGCATTGGCTATTCCTATGCTTCGTATTACGCGCTGATATTCTGTATCTTCCTCAATACAGCGCAATTGATCCAAAAGTTCTTTTTCACACGTTCCACATCCAATTAATCCCATTCCTATAGTAGCCGCCTCTCCGTAGATAGTATTCTTTTCCTTAGCAAGTTTAATTAAAGCACTAATAATATATTTATTATTAGAACCAATATTTATAAGACCAAGTCCCATACACGAACCAAATGCAAGTTCATCAGTAAGTGTATCTATTGAATCTAAAAAATACAATAGTAACTCGTTATCTGCTTCATTATAAGACCCGTTATTAATTAATCCTAAGGCTTGTAAAGATCCCCCTTCTTTATTATTAGATTCATTAGGAATATAATTTTTTAGTACATCATAAGGATTATCATTCTTATAATGTATCATTCCTAAATTCGCAACATCTAAATATCTAGCCCATTCATTTAACCTTCCAAATACATCCGAATTATTTCTATAAAACGTGTCATTAGTAGTACCTAGATTCATAAATGAATTTACAAAAGAAACATGAGAGGTTAAAGATTTAGTCATAGAATCTAGGAGTTTAAAACTTGTTAGATTATTTTCTACTCGAAATTTATTAAAAATTTCTTTTTTAAATGTCCCGTTAAGTATTCGCATCATATTTTGATTTTCCACTTGTAGATCCAATTTGTAACACTCGTCGATGTAGAAACAGAGTGTGTAACATAAACAAATATCTTTAGATTCCATTTCCAAGAGAAGATTTTTTAACTGCGCTGTCATGTTAAAATAGGCATACGCATCTATTAAAAGAAATAATGCTTGTTCTGTCTCTTTATTTTGTATATTAATAATAGATTTATAAAACATATTTTTATCTTGTATTTCATTAATTAAAAATGATAGTAAATCTTTATTAGACATTTGTTTACTAAGTGCCATTTCAAATAATTCGTATTCTTTTATAGAAAATAAAAATCCAATATAACTGTCAGAAAGTATATCATTTTTAATTAAATCTAATATAAAAGGTTTACAAAAATGATTTGTGTCTATTAAAAGACAGGACATCATTCTGTCAACAAGTGCTTTATAAAAAAATGTTTTATCTTCTAAAAAAAGGTTACCGGCTTTTATAGCGAATTTTATTGACTGGTCGTAATTTTGATTTATAAAGTGTATTTTAGAAAGACAAAGTGATGATTCTTTAGTAGAAGCAGTAAACAATCCTAAGCAATCTTTAAGGTACAAAGCTAAAGTGTCTATATTTGGCGTAATAATATTTATAGCTTCCTGTTCTTTATTGTTTTCTAAGAGATATTTTATATTTGGTAAAATTTTAAGGGACTGCATAAATGGGGTAAAAATAAACAAAAAATATAAAAAAGGAAAAACGTAGATAGAAAAATAATTTATTAATGAAATGTGTTTGTTTTTAAGTATCTAAAAAGACATGTATATTATTATTTTGTAAAATCAACTAATAGGATTTTTATAACCGATTTATACCATATGTTTTATTTAATACACTAATATGAATTTTTGTACATTTAAAATAATTTATAGGCAACGTGTAATTAATAATAATAATTTAATTGTTTATTGATAAGTTCTTACTAATAAAGCGTCAGTTAGTCAAATTATTTTTTAAGTAACACAACTTTTTTCAAATCACACGTACATAACAATTAAATAAGCGATGTGCAATTCTTACTAACTATTTCCAGTAATTCATATTTCAAAGAATTATACATCTTTAAATTTATTTGACTATGTTAACGCGTTATACTTTATTTTACAAAATTAAAAAACTATAAAATTATTTATTTGACAATGTTAACACGATAACATTATCAAATAAGTTAATTGAAAAACTTTAAAAATAATTATTTATTTAAAAAGTTTATTTTTCACTAAACGTACATCATATTTTTAAAAATTACTCAAATTATTAAAAATGATTCACAGTGTAGACATAAGTTCCTTTTGTACAATCGTAATCTACAAATTTCTTTGTATCATCATTTTTTAGTTCATAAATAAATCTATCTTGTATACCTTTCTGTGGATAACTATCTGCCTTTCCAATAATAAGTGTATTATCTGTTTTAGACACAGGATACATTTTTTCAATGGTGACCCTTGCCGAGACATTCAGTCCAGAACCAGTTTTATCGGTCACGTACACATGATTTTTAGCAAATAATATTTTCTTATTGACATTCTCAACAGTAAGATCTGCAACATTAACTGGTTCAAGAAATTCAATTGTACCTTTTCCAGGAAAATAAAGTGTCATGTTATTGATTCTATTCATTCCACGAATGTCTTCAATACTAGGTGTAAAATAAACATCAACAGGCTTATCTGGTTCGGGAGACCTGTATTCTAATTGTGCTTCGACCTGTACTTTAGAATTGTCTTTAGTAATAGGCTCTGCTAAAAGTCGTTGAAAAGGCGAAAGTTCTTTTTGAACAAATTGAAACTTAATGTTTTTTGTACCATATGGATCTGATTTATCTACTTGAGCACATAATAAATTAGAAGTGTTTGGTGTAAATAAAAAAGAAGATGATTGCTGTAGAGTATCCGTTTGTGGTTGAAACGTAGCAGATGGTTGAAACGTAGTAGATGGTTGAAAAGTAGTAGATGGCTGAAAAGTAGTAAACGATTGTAGCGCGGAAGACGATTGCAGCGTAGAAGACGGTTGAAAAGTATTAGACGATTGCAGTGTAGAAGACGGTTTAAAAGTAGAAGGCGGTTGAAAAGTATTAGACGATTGCAGTGTAGAAGACGATTGCAGCGTAGAAGACGGTTTAAAAGTGGAAGATGGTTGAAAAATGGAAGATGGTTGAAAAGTAGTAGACGGTTGAAAAGTAGTAGACGGTTGAAAAGTAGTAGACGGTTGAAAAGTACTGGACGATTGTAGCACGGAAGACGGTTTAAAAGTAGAAGATGGCTGAAAGGCAGTAGATCCAAAGGTTGATGTATTCGTCTGTGGCTGATTAGGTGTGGAAGTAAACATATTACCAGTAAATGTAGATGGTTGGGCAGATTCTGCAGAAAAAATATTATTATTTTGATTTGTAATTGGATTAGAGGATTGAGTTAACATAGATCCAGTAGTGTTAGATATTTGATTTGTTGCTAAAGCTAACTGATTATTGGATTGATTAGCAAACATTGACTGATTCTTCTCATTTTCCACTGTAGATCCAAATCGTGAGCTCATGCCGTTAAATCCAAAATTAACATTTTCTGTTGGCCTATTAAATGTTCCTAAATTAGAAATTTGCTGAATAGAAGGTTGAGATTGAGTTGTAGTACTTGATCCAATATTAGATGTCGGAAATAGTGAAGTAGTATTGGTTGACATAAAATTATTTCCAGTACTAGACATATTTGTACTTATAGCTAGAGTATTAGGTCGTCTTCCTAAGCAATAATCTTCAAACCTTAATTCATCACTGCTTTTATCGGCATATTCTTTCATAGAATTTATATGAAAATATTCTAAAAACCCAAATCCTCTTTCATCCTTAATTTTCTGAGGTTCAAAATTTTTATTTTTTGTTCCATTTTTCTGTAAAACAGCACTTTGATTAAAAACATTACCCATTCCTGTATAGTTAAAAGTTGTTGTGTCTTTACTGGGTGTATTTGGAAAAAGTCCACTGCTAAACAAATTGTTCATATTATTTTGATTATTCATGGGTTAAAAAAAATATTTTTTATAAATGCATAAATAACGAATGTCCAAAAAAAAAGTTTTTTTTTATTTTTTACCCTTAAAATAGTATGTATGAATTTTACAGACAATCGGTCATTGGCCGAGCCCTTGTTGATATTATAGACGAAAAAGTTAGACAAAATTTGCTTACCCCTAAACAGGCGAAGTTTATACTAGAAAAATTTGATGAAAGTATTCCCATTGTGTTTAATAGATCAGTTACTGGAACACTAAGTTTTAAAGGAAAAATATGCTCTTATAATCACGTAGAAGGGGTATGGAAATTCATAGCTAAAAATTTTTGTATGTATGTAAACAATGAATACTATAAGACTAATTTAATAAAAATTGTAGCATGTGATGCAGATACAAATGCTGAAGTTACGAGAAGAAGGAAAAAAAAGAATTTATAAATAAATACATATTTTTTTGTATATTGTTTATTTAATTAAATGTGGAAATAAAATTTTTATATTAGCACAACAATATAAAATGAAAGGTTAGTAACATTTTAAAAAATTATTTTTATTTTTAATACTAAAAATCAATGAAAGTTTGTGTCTAGCTAACAGGTTATAATGTTATTTATGTGTGTTAAATATGTTGCAGGCTGATATTTACATCCGTGAAATCATCATCTTATAAAATATTTTATTTAATAATTAAATAAACTTACCCATCTAAAAAATATGAAAGACTTCGAAGAGGGCAAGTTTATAATTTACTTTTAAATATTTTAACATAACCTTTGATAGTTAGTATACAATTATGTTATATTTTAAATTTGCTTTTTCTAATCAATATAATTCTAATAAATGTCTTTTGCGTTAAAATACAAGTTACAACAACTTTTTTAATGCGATTTACTTTACATTTTATAAACATTCCTTTTACCTTTGGTTAGGTTATTATGGGAGGAAGACTCCTTTTTAGTACAAAAAGGTTTATTTGACATGTGTTTATATTTTCTTTCTTTAAATAGTTTATGTTTTGATTTGATACAAAACGTCTCATAAATTTCCTACAGTTCAGTCGGTAGTTTCAGTCTTAATACTGCTTTGTTGATTACTGACGGTAAATATTCTAATTAATATTTTTTTATTCTTAAAACTAAAACACAGAATTTTAAACTATCAAACTGCTAAATACAGTACTTCTAGAGATTTTCATATTTTTAAAAAATAACTTTTTTTAAAGTTCTATTTAATATAAAAATAATAATTTGTTAAATTGTAATTAAACGTTAATATTATTTTTTTATTGATTTAAACATTAAGTAACTTTAACTTACAACCAACGAATTTTCAATATTTTAATCTACACATCAATTATAATTTAATATTTAATAAATATTAATAAATAGTACATCTTTTATATTTATTAATAAATTAAGCCAATTTAGTAAATTATCAGTATATTTTTTAAATAAATAACAGAAATTGCTCTAAATTTATAATTAACTTTTTAATATTTATTTTAACCCCATTTATATTATGAAATATATTTTTAAAAATATTATTGGTGAAGGTGCATGCGGAAAAGTATATAAAGCTTTGGATTCTTATAATAATCCAGTAAGTATAAAAATTATACCGAAGAATAAAAAATCTTACAATGAAATAAAAATCTTATCATCTGTAAATCATGATAATATTTGTAAATATTTAGATGTATACGAATCATTAGAAAATCTTTATCTAGTAACTGAATTGTGCGAATATAATCTTATAACATTTATTAACGAATATAATGTAGATATTAATATAACTAAAAAGATTATTCGTATGATATTGTGTGGACTAGAATACTTGCATTCAAATAATATTATACACAGAGATATTAAATTGGCTAATATTCTTATAAAAGAAAATTCGATAAAAATTTGCGATTTTGGCTTAAGTTGCTACGCATCAAAAAATAACTTTTCTGTTTGTGGTACAGAAGATTACATTGCACCTGAAATAATTAACAAAGAAAGTTACACTAAAAGTGTTGATATATATTCTGCTGGAAAAGTTTTCTCGACATTACTAGATTTAAAAAATGTAACAGATCCTTGTTGTAATGATTTACTTGGTAGAATGTTGGATGTAAATCCAGTTACACGTATAACGGCGTATGACGCTTTGCATCATCCCGTTTTTCAAGACTTTTTGCCTAAATATTGTGATTTTCGATATTTAAATGATTTTAAAGTCGATGAAAAGTTCGGAATTATTCAAAAAATTAACGATAAAGTGTATTTTGACGAAATCAGTTTACAAGTATCTGATACAAATACTAAAAATATAACAGACAATACAGCATTTTTTTGTGATAAATCAAAGGTTAATACACAGAAATTGAAATTATGTTATTTAAAACATGATGAAATAGAAGAATTGCATTTTATTTTTAAGCTTAATGAACAAGAAAAAGAGATTTTTTTGTTTACTAATGCCCACTTAAAAAAAATTATTTACGGATTGGCTTACCTTAATTTGAAAATGGAAAGACTTCCTATTATTTTAATCGAAGAAAAAGACTATAAATTTGTTTATCAACTGAATGAAGGATTCATTTATTATGACGCCAATTTTATTGTAAAGAAAAAACATACGAAAGCAAAAAAGTCGTTTTTTTATGAAGTAGCAGATCTAGAAAATAAAACAAAGAAGAAATGTGACATTTTACCAAAAGAAATACAAGAAAAAAAGATCTTTGAATTATTTTATAAGTGTCAAAGAAACATAATTAACATTGATTACAAAAATCTTCCGCTAAAATTAAATAATGAGAAATTAGAGTATCCATTTGCATTTAAAAATTCTACGATTTCTATGGGGACTTTAAGTTCTGTTGGTAGTTTCATGGACATGAAAATACGAAATGAAATTTTCTATAAATTTAAAAATAATTTAGGCTGGTGTATCAAAAAGAAAACAAATTTTATTTTTTTACTTAATGATGGACGATGCTTTGAAATTGAGCTATCAAAGATGTTAGTTAAATACAATAACAAGAATTATGAAATTAATAATAGACTGCCTATGTATATAAAAAAAGACTTGAAACGGATCAATGATTTAGTAAAATTGTATTTATAAGTTATAATAAAGTTATTTTAATAAAAAATTATATAGTCTTATATCTTCTAGTACAACACACATGACCAACCCTGTAAGGTTTTAATTTATAAGCTTTTTTTTTATTTTGATTTCTTTACTATAAATTAATTTTTTTGAATTCTGCCCTTATGAAATTGTTAGAAACACAAATGTTGTACGTTGAAAATGTTTCTGAAATAACAACTTATAAATTGAGACAAATGTTTTGTAAATTTGGGAAAATCTTACATGTTGGATTAGGGAACAACTCTACTACTAAAAATTGTGCTTTTATAGTTTTTGAAAAAGTTAATGATGCAATTGAAGCTCATAAAGCTATGAATAATATTGTGTATCAGAATAAGTTAATGAAAATTAAATACTTTCAAACATTTCCAGTAGCAGATGGAAAATTGTAAATGAATTATATTGTAATTTTGTTTCTTTGTACATATTTTAGTTGTTTATCTAATCTCCTTTTTTTATGACGTTATTCCCCTTAACAATGTTAGTTCTTAATGATCAAAAATTGTTTTATACTTTTTTATATAATTTGTTTAATTACAAACAAATTTCATATCTATAAAAAACCGTTATTTTAAATTTGTAGCATAAATGAAACCAATAACGATTTAATATTTCAAAATTTACTGGACCCCAAATTTATGGATAATTTTATTAAAGAAGGACTTGTCAATGATAGTGGAATTTACGAAGAAAAGTCAAATGATAATGAAAGGGATGATAACATTGCAAAATTAAAAAGTAGCAATGTTTCTGAAGATTTTAATAATGTATTTAATTTCGATAATGATCTCGTAAAAAACTTTAATTTCTCTTTTTCGAATAATTTTGAACATGATGAAGTTTTTATTAATCCGAAAGATATTTTTGCTAATAGTAATACAACACATGCTACTGATTTGAAAGTTAAAAAGAATATTTCTGAATCCTACCTATTTAATCATAGTCACCCCATGATGAGTCAAAGTAATTTAGATAATTTGCCTAAAAATTTTTTTCCTTGTAAATCTAATGAGAATAAATTTAATAACAACATGTGTAGCAGACCAATTGATGCTAAAGTTAAAATCAATTATAATGAGAATTATAAGATTAGACATTCTAAAGAAAATATACATCATAACGAAAATATTAAAGCAACCCATATGAAAAGTAGAATTACGAATTTAAAGGCCCCATTGGCTGTACAACCATATCAACAGGCGTATTATCAGAAAAAAATTATTGATCAGAAAATACCATCATTTCTTATGCATAAGAATTCGCTGCCGCCTGTTTTACATTCATTTAATGAAAATTCGGTGGCTTACAGCAATACTTTTCGGCTTTCTCATTGCCCTCCTACCAAATATTATCAACAATATCCCATAAGTAAAGCTTTTACTTCTTTTAGTAGAATTAATCCTACTAATAATTCTCTATTTAATTGTAATCAAAGATTTAAATCTCCACAAGGATACAAGATATTGAAAAGACCGTTGAAGAAAATAATTAGATTGGCAGTAGATGGCAAAGCGTTATATAAGTTTAAGATTATAAATATTAATTCCAACTTTCCTTACAAGCATACAGGATATTGCGAACAGACTTTTTTATCTAGTGTTAATGTTTTTAATGAGTCTTTGGGAATTATGAAAGTTCCCTTTAAGTATGGCACTGTATTAAGTTTTATTTTTTTTGAACTTAAAAAATTCAATGGGTATTTTAATACTCATGTATCTGTATGGAATCAATTATCTCAGGTTATCAAACATTTTAGTTGGATTAATCAAATTTATCTATTTCTTGTTTATCCTTTTGAACAATTTACCGCTGGTTGCAAAAAGATTCGTGTTTTTGAAGATGAAAAAGTTTTTAAAATTTTTAAAGCTGATTTTTCTAAAGTCAATACAACCGATATTGATATTTGTCTTAGTAAAGGTAAACTTTCTGATATTGAATTTATGATTAATAATATTGATCCGGGTGTTATAAAAATTGAAGGTGTTATAATTTTACTAAATTTTTTTGTCGACATTTTTCAGGTTAAGTTTGAGAATTTTGTTAAAGATAAATTACCATTTATTAAGCAAATGGAAACAACTCATGATCGATATAATTTTGAAGAACGATCATTATTTGAAAAATTACGTAAAACTTTTTTATCTAAATTAGGGGAATTAGATGTTGAAAAAAGTATTATTTTGGTTAAAAGGTGTATTGAGATTAGTATTGAACATGGTAAGATTTGTAAAAAGAAATATCTTGGATTTAACATTGATCAAGTTTTTTTAAATAAGATTTTTAATTTACTAGTTATATTGAAAGAAAATAATTACTTAAATATTGAGCTTATTTTAGATTTTATAAATGTGTGTGGTAAGTCGTATTTTTTTGAGAATTTATTTATTTTTAAGTATTGTTGTAAGCTTTGCAAGACTGATCCTGTTTTTACTCTAGAAATTTTATCTAATGTGAAGTTTAGTAGGGTACATAACAAGAAGTTACTAAAAGAGTTGCGTAAATTTATTATTCCTAAAATTGATGATTTTAATAAATTATTTCTCGAACATGGAATGTTAGATGATAATAAGCTATTAGAAAATATAATTAGATCATTTGTATGTGTTAAAAGCATGAAAAATAGGTTTAAGACTATTTTTAAGAGTATATTGTTACATTGTGATTATATTTACAAACATAAGCTTTTTACAAAGAAAAGAAATTCTTCAGATTTGTTTAAAATTATTCTTGTGATGATTGCGCATGAAGATGTTAAAGCCATTCTTTATTCTGATTTAAGTTTGTTAAGACGTTTAAAGAATATTCCCGGTATTAGGGATATTATATAGGTACCTATATATTTTGTTGATATTAAATTGTTTATTTTATATTATCAATTTATCAAAATATTTAATTTAAATTGTTCACATATTTTGTTAATTAAAATTACTTTTTATTGGTGATATTACGTGACAAATATAAATTCAAGATTCTGTTATAAATTCGTTTTTTGTTATGAAATTTAAAATATTTGTAGAGTGGCGTGTACATTATTTAATGATACATTAATGTATCATTAAATAATGTAAATCTCTAAAGTATTAAATGAAATGAAAATTATATTTTACTATTAATAACATTAATGTATCATTAAATAATGTAGATCTCTAAAGTATTAAAATAAATCGTAAACGGTTAATTTATTTTAAAAACAATAATAATACAGTTTTATTAGCTGTATAAACCAAAAATTTATTTATAAAGACATTTTATTTGACCACAAATAGTACTATAAATTAAACCTGACTGAGAAATTACAAGATCTTGCCAGTTTAGGCTATTAAAGATGCAAAGTTGGTTAGATTTAAATTAATATTTAAAAAAATGTAAAACATATAGATAATTTTAAGATATAAATATAGAACTTTATTAAATATAATTTTATTTCAAAATATTATGAAATTTTTTAAATGCAAAATTTTTGTTTGATGTAAGTTTATAAATTTATTAACAAAATGTACTATGTTTTCTTGTATCTTTTATGCATTTCTTAATTTAAAAATTAATTTTTTGTTTGTTTCATTCTTTATAAAAACAAAAATGTTTTATAAACAATGATTGAGGAAATATTTATTACTGCAAATGAAAAAGTCTTAATAGGAGACATTAATCTGTACCCAAAAAAATTAAGCTATCCTACCAGTGTATCTGGTGATAAACAGATTACCCAACTTAAAGTCAATAATGTTGTTTTAGGCATTTTATATTCCAATATTGATTCTTTTACAGCTTTACAGTTCTTAGAAAAATTAAAAGAACAATTAGAATCTAAATTTTATAATTTGAATGCTCAGCACGTCTTGGATAATTATTTTATAATTAGAGAAATGGTAAACAGATTATTTTTAGAAAATTTAAAAGGTAATTTTAAGTTACCTGCTTTGTCAACAAATGAAGTTCATATTGATGTAATAGAAATATATAATGGTAATATACAAAATAATATTTATCTCTGTGATGTATTTGGATATTGTTTTATTAAACCTAGATTTAATGAAAAAAACTTTTTAAAATTAATAATAAAAAAAGATAAAAATATTAATTATCTTTCTGATTATAAAATATTAGATAGATTTAATAAATTAGAAATGGAATTAAATGTCTATGATAAAGATTTACAAATATTAAAATATCATACAAACAGTAATTTACCGTTTAAAATACAATATACAAGTGAACTGATTACTATATCTGCTGATAATATTTATTTTGAATCACTTGATATTATTATACCTTTAAAATACCAATCTAATGAAATGACTTTAGAACAAAGTAAAGGAGCAATTAAATTTATAGAAGAAGAAGAAAAAGTTATTTGGAGCTTTAAAAAACACTATTTAGTAAAAGAAAATCTTAAAATTAAAATAGGGGACATAAAGGATTTATTAAAAACTATACCTATACAAGTAAAGTCTAAGATATGTAAAACCGATAAAAATATTCTTAAAATTGAAAAGGCTATATGTTTAGATAATCAATCTATTGATATTTGGATAAAATACGATATATGTGGAGGAAATATTAATTTCTGGGAACAGTAAAATTTTAATAATAAAAGATTTATAAAAATTTAAAATAAATCCTTTTATTCACAAAATTTAAATTATTAAAAATTTATCCATTAGACAAAGTAATAAAATTTAACTAATAATCTATTTTTTGAAAAAAGTTTGTGTTTTTTATATTAAAAAAAGTGTTTTGATTTTAAAAAATATTTTTAACGCAATTAGAAACAAAACATTCATTAATTAAATTTACCTCCAAAATTGCATTGTATATTTGTATTCTTGTAAATATAAATAGAATATCTTCTTTAGTACATTGAAAAAAAAACTAATCTTTAAATACGCGTTAAAAAATATAAATATTGAACTATCATTTTCCTGAATCCCAAAGTCGCTTGTTTTAATATCAGAACTTTATTTTAAACTGTTTTTCCTTAAAAAGTTTATTTTATTAATGTTCGAGTTATTTGATAAAATCTTGATTAACAGTATTGCAATTAATTTTATAATTTTTTTGAGTGTTTTAAAGAACAGCGATGATATAAACACGATTTTTTTTATTTTGCTTATTCTTTGTCTGAAGTTGCTAATACTATAAGTAAAAACTTTTTTAAATGTTAAGAAGATGGATTTATTTAAATAAACAAACAATGTAATAAAGATTATTTAAATGATGAAAGAGTAGTATAAAGTTTAAAGACTACGATGTAATTTCTCTTGTGATTTGTTTTATAAACAAATCGTGATATTTAAATGACATAATGGATGAAATACGTTTTGAGTAATGGTTATTTTCTGTAAACAATATCTTGGACAACTATTTACTATTATTAATATATGTTTTGGTAAAGTAGTATTGGCGACCTTTGATTTTGGCTTGCTTAAAGAATTTTTTCTTAGCCCTACATTACGGTAATTGTTTTTTTTTCGGTGTAGCGTCGAAAAAAGGTAGATTTCCCATTTAACAATCTATTTGTAAGAAGGGTAGGTGGGTTAGGTTATTCTAGCAAAAAGCTACATAACGAACTGTTTTGCAGTAAAAAGGAGATCCTTTATGTCTTTATAAAACTGTTTCTGTATGAAATACCTTTATAAAATGTAACAAAGTTGGAGCAAGTTTTTATTTAGATATTTTTATACAATCAAAATTTTTTTATTTAGCTTTTAAAATGATAAAATTAAAAGAAAATGAAAAATATGATAAATTGGCTTAGTACGCTTAATTGATGCATAAAAATAGAAAGTGTGGTTGTTTTGCAAAATAAAAAAAATTAATAGACTTGTTTGTACCTTTTTTGCCCGTAAAAAAAGATTTAGTTGTTACCATAATTTTATTTTTTACAATACACAAGTATCAGTGTTAAATCAATAATTATCCCTTTGAATTTGTGGCTTAATAATGCTCCACTTGCTTTAATTAAACGTCTATCTATAGTATCTAAGCCAATTTTTAGTCGGATTTTAATTAATACAAGAAAACTAGATGCTTTTAATAAATATCTAAACTTCAACTTATAAAAATTGGGTGGCGACAAGTGTATCGTGGATGTGAATGAAAGCAAGTTCGGCAGGATAAAAATTAATAGATGAGATTCAGTAGGTGTTGTATGAGTTATAAGCGCACTAAATAGAACTGATAAACGTATTGTATTACAGCCTGTAAAACAAAGAAATAAAGAAATAGTTACAAATTTTTGTACAAAATTTATCGATAGCAAGTCTGTAATTTATTCGGATTGCTTAAAAAGAAGTATTGATCTCTTTAAATATCTCAGTTTACATCAAACAGTAAATCATTCTAAAAATTTTGCAGATAAACAAACATAAATTCATACGAATACAATTAAAGGAAATTAAAATTCGATGAAAAAGATTATTCCTGGTAGATGTAAAACTTTTAAGTTGGTTGATATTTATTTGCTTATGTTTCTTTTTAATAGAAATAAAAAAATAATAATTTAAAATACTAATAAAACATACTACTTTAATTAATTATTGAGCTTATAATATAGAAAAGATTTGTTTTAATCTTTTTATTACTACAAAAACTATAAAAAAATTTTTATTGTATTAAAAAATACACCTAAATATGACATTTTAACTAAAAGATTTAAATTATAACAATTGTGGTTCATTTTACTTGTAGAATTTCTTTTATAAGTATTTATACTCTTTCAATATTTATTTAAATAAATAAAATTTATCTAATTTTTTATTCTTTTTTTTGACCAAAAAACAGTAAATCGTTTTGCTAAAAGTTTTATTTGTATTGGCGGCTGTGGTTTTAATTCGCTTTCCGCATTTTCTTGGCTTTCTATTACACACTTTATTTACATCAAAATGTACAGTAGTGAATAGAAAAGTAATATTATATTTTGCTTTAACAATTTTTTTAATATGACAAATTATTGCTATTTTAAGAAAGCTTACAAAAATTTATAAATGTTTAAGTAGTTTATTTTTTTATTACGCTAAACAATGCTTTTATTTGTTTAATGAAAAATGTAGTGGCAAAAAAAGGATATTTTTATTTTAATTTCAATATGTCCATCTTTCACTCTGCATAATTCGTTGCATCTACTATTCATGCTCTGTATCGGCCTTTAACAAATTTCAATATCTATTTTATTCCACTTTTCTTCAACACATTACTTTAATTCATTTACATTTTTTGGTTTTCTTTTTCCTACTTCTACCTTAAGAATATGAAATCAATTTTCTATAGGATTCATATCTGGATATTTGCAGGTTAATTTAAAGTTAATAATTTTTATCTTTTAAATAATCTCTAGTACATTTACTCGTATGTTTTGGATCAGTATCTTGCTGTGTAAAATAATTTTTTAATTTAAGTTTTTTTACGGAAGGCGCAAGATGTGTATCTAAAATTCTACAGTATGCTTCGCTATTTAGTATACCACCAATTATACAATCTTTCCGAGGCCTGCTCCCGAAAAAAATGCCCAAACCACGATACTACCATCTCTATTTTTTACTGTGACTTTTAAATTTTTTTTATTATATCTTTGGCCAACTTTTCTTAGCACACAAACTCTTCCATCAGAACCAAGTAAGTTTACCTTTGTTTCATCGCCAAAAAAACCTTATTCAATCTCTGATCAGAGTAAAAAGCATATTTGCTTGCCCAATCTTTTCTTAAAAAAATGTGCTTTTTAGTCAGAAGTAGTTTTTTACATGCAATCCTACCATTTAATCCTATTTTATACAAATTATCCCATATACATCGAGGAGATATATTTTTTTGAGTTTTACAGCAAGCTTAATACTGCCAATTTGTGGATCAGCTCTTATTTTTTTCAAATAAGATATATCAATGCAAGTAAGTAGTAAAGATCTATCAGTACCTGCTTTTCTTTCATATTGTCCTGTTTTATTAATTTTTGCTTTATTTTAAAAGCTGTCGATTGGCTTATCAAGAACTTTTTTGCAATTTCTTTTTGTTTTATGCCCATTTCAAAGTAAGCCATAATTTCAAATTTTTTACTTAAAGATAATTTTTGTAGCATAATGGATAAAAATAAAATTTTTACACTAAAAAAAATATTCCTTTTTTTTGTCAACTAAATAAAAATTTTTTGTAAATACCAAAAAGGTTTTAAAAAAGCAATGTACATTTATCCCAACATATTTTATAATTTTTTATAAAGTAAATAAATCAAATGTTGTGACTATAAAATGTTGATTACTAGACTATTTTAATATTCCTTTTTTTTGCTACTACTGTTAATTTAATTTTGTTTACAAAAATGGATTTGTTAGATAAAGATTGTGAAAAAATAAAAGAATGCTTAAGTATATTTTATTCAAATTACACAAAAAAATTTTGATAAATTTTGCTTAAAATCGAGAAATAGACGATTTGCACTTGAAGTTAAAAAAAGCATTACAAAAAATGTCTCTTGTGTTATATAATATTATTTTTATAACTTTTAGGAATTATGAGCCTAGAAACGGAATATGTTTACCAGAAATTGAGTTTGCAATGTAAAAGATAATGAATTTTTAAAAAAACTCTGCAAGACAAAAAAAGAAAAAAAGGGACATATTGTTGCTTTATACGAGAAAATGAAAGTATTGTTGCAATAGATTTGTACGAAATGTCATAAACATAGCTTAGTTATAATTTTTAATTTTTTAGACGTTTAAATTTTATTTGTAAAATTAGAGATTAAATATATCATAAATATAAAATGTTTTTCCAATTGTTGCCACAAATGCCTTAAATTCTTTAATTTTAATTTATTAAGCATATGCTAAAATTTTAATCCAAAATAACTTTATGTACTAAAAACATATTTTATAGTTAATTCAAGAAAAAAAATTAAATCTAGAAAAATAATTGTTTACACTTGGAAAAAAAGAATATAAAATAATTTTATATGAAATTTAAATATTTAAGGAAATAATATATTTATATTTGTTTATTTTTTTTCATTCTTTTCATACAAATTTAAAATATTTTTTACAGCTTCTAAGCGGTGAAATAGATATTAAAAATTGTTGTTAATAAAGAAAACATAAATTTATTTAAAATTTTAAATATATGTTTATCTCTGTCAAATATCTTTTCATATATTAATATCAAGATATTTGACACGCCATTATACTCCCAACAAACATTTTTACATAAATACCTAATAAAAAAGGCTGTGCATCAAAATGCTTGGAAAATTTTAGTAATTTAAAAAAAATGTAAAATTTTTGACATATAAAATAAATCTTGTTTATTTACTTATTTCTTGCTATATTTAGAAACAAAAAAAAAGAAAAAATTATTATGATTTTTGATATACATCAAATTTTTTAATTTATTAAAATATTTAAGAATAAATTTGTCCCTAAAAATGGTTATATTTTTTTTAAAAATTGTATTATTTATTAATACAACTTTAGTACCTAGCGAAGAACAGGTTTACTCAAATTTTATTGAACAGGTATACAATATGATTAATAAAGATTTAAATCGTAAGAATTACAAGTTGTATAATTTTGAATTAGATACTGCATTTACTTTAATCTCTGTTAGTAAGCATAGAGTAAACATAAATTTTAGAAATGTTTATTTTAATACAGCAGAAGATTTTACTTTTACGCCAACATTTGATGGTAACTATATTTCAGATGATAATTTATACTTTATAGTTAAGAAATTTGGATTAATGAATATCAGTTATGTGAATGTATATATTGAAAATGATAACTATAACTTACTATTAGATCAAGAATATAATGTAGCATTTTTTGCACGATTAAATATTTTATCTCAAAAGTTAAAAGGTCCAGTATTCATCTATAAATTTATTGTTAAAGATTTTGGCGATGTTGAAAAGATTTATAAAAACAATAGGAAAAATAAAAAAGAGCTGGGATATGATGATGTGTATCCAAAAATATTTGCACAATTTATTATTGATAAAAAGTCAGAGTATGGATTTTTTCTGTATCTACAAAATTTTGATTTATCATTAATTTTAAAGCGAACATTGTTTTCTAAATATAACGATAATTGGATTAATGTTTATAATTTTATGTCACATTTTAATTGTAATGAATTTAAATATTTAAGTGATATTATATATTTTTGTACAGGAGAACATAAAAAAACGACTAGTAAGGAAAATTTTTTTATTGCATTTTGCGATGAACATAAAGAGATTACTAATTTTTTTTTAAATTTTGCATCTATAGCTAACGGAACCAAAGAACAATACAATCATCAATACGTCATAGATTTAGAAATTATAGAAGAATGTAACAATATTATTACAAAAATTAAAAATATGTCTAATGATCATTTAGAACAAATAATTATTTTTATGTATTCGATATATAAAAAACCATTATTTAGAATGTTAGTTAGAAGAATTTTAGATTCGGATTTAAATGGTAAAAAGGTATATCTGTTAAAAATATTACTTTTTAAAGAAATTCTCAATGAAGATGAAATTAATTGGTTTACAGCGTATAGATACTCAAGTAGAGATGTTGTTTTTAACTTAATGAATGATTTTTATATGCAGAAAATTGTTGATATTTTTTCTAAGGAATTTTTTGGAGTTATAAATATGTTTTCTTGCCTGATTCTCTATTTTGAATTTGAAGATTATTTAAATCAATGTCATGAAGATTTAAATGTGCAATGTGAATTTTATAAAGATTTTATTAACGTAAGAAAAATATTACAAAAGGATTTAATATTTAAAGAAGAATTTCAAATGGCTCAAGTTATCCAAACTTATTTATATTTAGTAGATAAATTTTTTGGTGTTAAAATATTTTTTTCAGGTGTTTTTAAAGATGCTTATAATTATTTGATACCAATTTGCAATGACATAAAAAATTTAAAAAGTTTGTCTAGCAGTGAAAAGTTAAAATATTTAGATTTTGAGAAGATAACAAAAAATTTAAAAAGTATAAAAAATAAATAATTAATTTATCTTTCTAAATAATTTAGTTGAGGAAGACCGAAGAACATTTTTGGTAAATAGGTACCACTCTGTGCTATCCCCACAAATCAAATACTTGCAATTTTAATTAAATGTCAAATCAGTAGATCTTATTAATTAATTTTAAATATAAAAGAAAACCCCAACTATAGGGGTTATGATGCAATAAAATACGACTAAAGTAAATCATTTCAATATTATTTCTATTATTGAACAGCACTTCGACGGGGGCTACGTCACACTCAATAATAATTCGAATATAAATACTTTTATTAAAATTTTTTTTATTTATTTAATGAATTTTGTCTATTATCTTAAACCATCTTTGTTCCTTTGCTTGTTAGGAAATTTATTTAAAATTTTGGTTGCGCTTAATGATTAAAAGGTGGATTAAATCAAAAATTATATAAAAATAAAAAAATTATTAATTATTTATCAAAACAATATGTTTCTAACTTTCCTATCGCATTCTTTAGTCCACATTTTATCTAAAAACAACCTTAAATAAAAGCTGATTAAACACGTTTAAAAACGATGATATTAACATTTAAAATCAATGGCTAAAGGATTTTTGACCTGGGGGAGGTCAGGCATGATACTGTTGCTGTATCGCCCCGCTGAACTGAGTTGTGTTCTTAATTGGTGTATTGAGCCAGGTGGTGCTGTTCTGTACACTCACTTAAGATGAGAGATGGTCTTTAAGTAGACCGAGGATTCTGTATCCTAAGGGAACGCTCTTTTCTCCTATAAGCAAGGCCGTAAAGGTATGCTAGCGTGCAAGCGCAATATTGATGTTTTGTTTTTACAGTGGAGTTTTTGGTGGCCTGGTGGTTTTTTTCTTTTGCTGTCTTTATTTTTTAACAATAAACTTTTTATTTTTATTTTTTTTAGTTGGATTCTCATTTGTTAAGGTGTTAAAAAATAAAAAAACACATCGGTCTAATATCTGCCCCAAATGGCAGATATTAGACCAGGTCCGGTTTTTCTTCTTTTGCTGTTTCTTATTTTTTTAAAATAGACTTTTTGGCGCTACTTCATTTTTCTCCCCCAGTTTTTTAAAAAAATTATTTAATTTTTAAAAAAAATGATTGGCTACAAAAAATTAAAATCTAAACATTTTTAATAGTCTATATAATGCAATCCTAAGCGTCTTGTTATCGCTGTTTTGGACGTTTCGTTTCCTCCATTGCCACTTATTTGAAAAAAATTAATTCTCCTTTTATTAATACCTCCACGTTTTCGATAGGCATGCTTAAGATGTGACACAGGCTTTCAATTTGATTAGTATGTGCTCCTTGAGCATTAACAAACCCAACAGAGTGGTTTACCACTTCATGGCAAGATCCAAATTCAGTAACAGCCCTGGGGTAAGCTGGGTAACCATCGGTAACAATGATAGATCCGGGTACAACATGTTCTTCAAACATGTCTAGCATAGTCGGAACCTTTCTGTTAGGAACAAGCTTTAGAACAAAATTCCTACAGTTTGTTCCTTCTATACCTCCTACTAACCATTGTACATTAGGTTTGTTGTCTAGGGTACTAGATGGGTTAGATATTAACTCCCCATTACAGATAGCCGTTTCGTCAAACTGCACCCTAATACCTTCTCCACCTATTTTAACCATTTCTGGCTCTTGTTCGGATATTACTTGCAAAATCAAACCTTTGATTTTAATATAAGTGTTCTCCGAACAATCGCAGAAATCAATGGTCTGGGATGGGGTATAATTATATACTCGGCAATACGTTCCCTAAAGAATTTTTACAAATTCTATATTCGGGTGGACATTTTAGACCCCTTTTTAGGCTTGCCTTTGATCTGCATGCCTTAGAAGAACATCTGTAAGCATACCCATCTATATACGTGGCAGTCGCCGTAATCCCCATTCTTCTAGCACATTCCATAAAAAGGATTTCTTTTTTGATTAAATTGTATTTTAAAAATAGTTCTAGAGTCTTAGAATTCTCAAATAATATACGTCGATTAAATATATAATTTTTTTATAGATTTTCCATAAGAGGGGTTAAAAAAAAATTCTTTTTTTACCCTTACAGCATCTTTCCACCTCCTCCGAATAACTACGTTCACTTTAAAAAATTTTGTACGTAGTTATTCGGAGGGGGGTTGAAAAATAAAGTAGCACCAAATATTTATTTTATTTGTTTTAAACACTATCATTACATTCGTAAGCCATAAACTTTGTTAAAACATTTATATTTGTCTTGTAGCACAGACACGGCGTTTTTGATCAAATAAAATTCAACAATGCGTTTAATAAAATTCCTTTTATTTGTTCTATCGCCATTTATCTCGCTATGGCTTCTTAAATTTTTCTTATTAAATATTATCTTATTCATCCCCTTCCTTTCCTAAATTTTATTTATAATTTTTTTTGAAATTTTGGAGGAGAAAAATATTTTAAATAAAAGTTGTGTTTTATTGTACTTTGCTTAAAAATGGCCTCTTGTACAATCTATTAGAGAATTAATAAAAGATCTCTTTTGACAAAAGTCTTATAAATTAATTCATGTTGTGATATTACTATATCACAATATTGTTGAAAACAAGATGCTCACAGATGGGTTTTGTGATATTCCATATCACAAGTAACAAGTTAATTGATCTATTCAAAATAGTTCTTTGACGTTTCAAATGTGTATGTAGTATTATTACTACATGCCCAATATTTTTTAATAGTTTATTTTTTTGAACCCTAATAAGATTGAAATAAAACGAAGAATTACAAAAATTTTCTCATGATCAGTATAAAGAAAAAGTTGTTTTACATACAATAAGGCGTTTACAACCAAAAGCCTTTTAGTAAACTATTTTAAGTACGTGTCGGGTTTTTAAATAATTGCGTTTATTTAGAATGTTATTATAATCTCTCATATAAATATCCTATTTTATAAGTATTTGCCGTAGACTTATTTAAAGTTATAAATAAATTAAAATAAACAAACAATGATTTGAAGCATATATAAAAATAATTTATCTCTGTTGGGAGGATGAGAACATTAGATGTCTACTTTTTAGTCTGCCGTTTAAATTTTTTTGACCCAAAAATAAAAGTTAACATGAAGGAGAAGCAGGAAAAAGTTGATGATAAAGTTATAAAAAATTAGAAAAAAAGCATTGAAGCAATTAATTTTTTTTTTAATAATTTAAACACATGTTTTATTCAAAAAGCATTTTTAATAAATTTGTAGATGTAGTTAAAGGATTGTTTTTTAAACATAAAAAGTTCTAAAAACCGCCAAATATCACACTTATTACAGTATTTGAAGAAAATATTTGGTTTTATCCCCATCCATGTTTCTTCTTTTGTGTTCGTATGGATTCCTGTTTTATGACCAACAAAATTTATGCTATGGTTAACTGTTTTATGAATAGATTCGGGTTTAGGTAGTTGAAAATGACCCTTTTAGCGGCCAGTATAAATTATTGAACTTTTTTCTGCGTATTTATTTATAAAATTTAGCAAAGTAAATGATTCCCCCAAAGGTAGCTTATACAATTTTATTTTCCGATCGTTGGTTCGCTCAACCATGCCCAAAACTCATACACCTTCTACGCGGTGGCCTCATTTAATTTTTCCGAATTTAGATTCGTAAATTTCTATTATAACACCCGGTACTCCTATCTTTTCTGTATCATCAAGCCTACTCAGACCTGTCTCATTTTTTGCCTATAGTTTTCGTAGAAACTCCAACCACAAAATCAATGATTTTGTTGTTAGTATTTTATATATAAAGACTAATGATTTGATACACCTTGATTCAAGATATCTTGTTATGCTTAAAGAGCGTAAGACTATTATATTTTGTCTTTTTCTACAACCTCGCCTGGATATCTTAAAATGTTTGATTGGGAGGGGGTGGTGTGACTGTCAGGAGTGCGACTAGTGGAGAGGAAGATTTCTATCGCACTAAGTATACGCAGACCTGTTCCTAGCTTTCCGTGTGATTTAAAGTTAGAATAGGAAATGGTGTCACCAGAATAATATTTATTTACATTTTCTCGGGATGCTTTTCGGGTTCTATCTTCTCTCGATCTTTTGGATTAATCGACCCGTTGGTTATCTCTTGATGTATACATTGGGGTTCGGGATAAATTTCTTTTTATAGGTTTATTTGTTTACATAACAAAATTCATAAACAAACAAAGATTAAAGAAGAAACATGTGGTAATAAAATATTATTACGGGGGGCAAAATCAACATTAAATTATCTAAAAATTTACCACAAAATCGTTCAAATGCGATACTTTTGACATTTTTTATAACCATTTCATCCACCCTCACCAGCCCCTCCCTCATATTGACTTTTATTTAAAGGGGTAAAAAAATTTAAAAGGCAGACTAAAAAGTGAACATCTAATCTTTTTATAAACCGATTCATGTAACTCTGCAGTATTGGCAATAAGATCACATGTTTAATCCTTAATTTACATATCTATTAATTTTTGAGAGTAATTATATGAAGCGATGGGTTTTTAAAGATTATTACTTTATAGCAAGTGAATTTATACCCATATGCAAAGAAATAACAGACAATTTTATTCTTTTCCTTCGGTTTGCGTGTATTTGAGTTACATATATAACATTTACGATTGTTATAATTGCTCGGAGAAAAAACCTTAAAGCTGCACGACTTTTGATATACTTAAAAAAAAATTTTACCCTTATTTTGCACCTTCATTTTGTAAAAACAATGATATAAATTTTTATTTTTATAAAAAGTAACTTTTGCGAAATAAATAAAGCCAAATTTTAAAATTGTTTTGTTTTAAATTCTAAATTAAAACTTGTATTATACATTAAAATATTTTTATTCGTATTTGTAAAAAAGAGAAATATCTAGTAATTCCTTTAACATTGTTGTTGGTTGATTTCTCCAAAGTATATACCTAAGGAGATATATTCCTACTAATAAAGATGTTCTATTTCTGTAGGTCAAATTTCTGTTTAACCCCGACCAGTTTCCTTCTATAGTATTTATGTGCACACTACCAATTTTATTTAAAAATTCTTTTGAATGATTAACGGTTTTGTGTGCAAAATAATGAAGCTTTAAATGGCGATTGGCTTTTCAATCGCCCCTGTAAATTACAGAATATGGTAAGATGTATTTAAGCATAATATTTTCAAATTCTGTTCTATTTCTTTTTATCACCTAACATAACAAAATTCTACGAGTATGGCGCTTAACTGCGCCAAAGATCCAAACACTGTCAACCCTATGACCTTTACTATATTTTCTCCTCCCCAGCTTTTTTGTCAATCTCTATTATATTTCCGTTTCTTCCCCAAATTAATGATCTCGAGATGTTTATTATATATTAATTCTTTATTAAATTTGTAAATCATATTAGAGACTTTGTTTTTTGATATTCCTGTAGTTCTTGAAACAAGCTTGAATGGAAGATTGTTTAAAAATAAATCAACAATTTTTAAAAGGCCGAAAGAGAAACTTTAAGAGAAAAGAAAACAGTATGTTTAAAAACAAAATATCTTATTTTACAAAACTTATCTTTACAACGTACCATTAATATGCCATATTGTACAATTTCCGATCCACATTATTGGCAACAACGAGCAAAAATACATAGTGAACTCATATTTAAAATTTCTTCATATTTTCCTCCTGTTGTAACATCAAAAGATAGGGGTAAAATTTTTCTTTGAGTATATTAAAAATCGTGCAGTTTTTAGTTGTTTTGATCTAATTGTTTATACCTCTACCTGCTATTTTTTGGTACTCTTCTTTTTTTAATTTTTATCATTTTAACCCTTGGTAATATCAAAAAATACTAAAAAGGCCGATTTGGTCTTTTGCGTTTTCTTCCTCATTGTTCAGCATTTCTAAAATAAAAATTAAAAATTTTTTGTTGGGGATATTGGGGTGAAATAGAGTTGTGGAGTGCGACAAAATTGGAGATAGGACTCCTGGATACTTTTAAAGTCGCCAACTTTTCCGGCTGTTCTACTCGTTCTATTAAGAAATTGGTTGTGTTTAGTAAATATTTTCCTGTGCGCTGATGCTTTGCTGTTGTTTTTACACTTCTGAGGTTGCTTTTTATTTCCTTTTAAGCTTTTAAAAAAAATATTTTATTTACAGTTTTTAGTATGTGAACCAACGAGTCTTATGGAATATTTACAGAACCGTTTCATATAATGAAAAGCTTTAATAAATAAATTATATTTCATGCGGTTTTTTACCACAGGTACATCGAATTTATACAACTTTTCTTCATTTCGACCAAATATTTTTTATAGCAAAGTTTATTGCAAATTGGTTTTCGATTACTAAAAAATAAGTGCAATGAACAAACCATTCTATAAAAATATTACAAATAACCTTTAAAAAAATTTCATTGTTGATAGTCCATTTTTTTAATACTATCTCTTAATTCTAATAGTCTACTGTAAAGTGAATTGAATCTTCTGTCAATACAAATAGTAAATAATTAATTCAAAAAAATTACAATCGGGGTTACAATAAAATATATTTGTCACTCCCTTTATTCCCCAAAGGTGGTTGTTTATTTGAAGAATTAAATTTTTTATTTAACATATTTATTTGATAAAAGATCTTTTTATAGATTTATTTTCACTCTAAAACCTATTGTGTTTCAAAGTTTGATTTCGCGTCCTAATATTTTACCTTCAAGCGAATTATTGGGTCATTTACATTCATTGGTGACAATATTACTAACAACATGTAAATTTTTACAATTCAATTTTAAAATATAGAAATGTTTAAAAACGTCGACATATTTGCTAAATTTATTACATGCTAGATTTAATGAATTATAGCTACCGTCTATCTTTTGACATGCCCGTGTTTGAAATGGTTTTCATATATTATAGGCAATTTTTTTATTTTTTATATTTCTCACACGCCAGTTAGTAGTCTTTTGGCCATGGCGTTGCTTGTTGAAGTTGTCGGATATTTTCCACGAATTGCCTACCTTTTTTTCAATATAAGAATAGAGGCTAAAAAATTTAAAAAAGATAATAAGTCAAGAAACCAATATAGGCTCTGCAAACTTGTAACAAAAATCGTGAAGTTAAGCAACCATCTCGACATTTTTTATAAATTGAGAGCATTTCAAAAAACTGATGTTGTTGTTTTGGCGCTCCTTAAATACAGCACCAAGGGGGTTAAAAAAATTAAAAAATTGGGATTCCGTACTAAGCTTATACTTTTTAAAGCTGTATTAAGCAAAGCAATTTTTTGTTTTTTTTCTTTTTTAACCCCTCTATGAACATAAAAAATTTGTATGAGCCAATTTTTTTCAGATGCACGGTGGGATGTGTATGTGGTGCCTACATGAAGCAGGTAGAAAGTACGCTTTTTAAAGAAGGAATTTGTTTTTACTGTGCAAATGGCTGCTACAAAAGGCAGAGAATCAAAACAGGAACAATACTTTAAAAATTTCGTCTACCCGCTTTCATCCAATTACGGATATTATACTGTTGGATTATGAGTGGGTGCATGGCATGCATTACTTGCGAAATCTCTGAACCAACATATATTTCTTCTAAGGATAAAATTTTTAAAAAAATAAAAAACGAAGTAGAAAACTACTTTAGTAAAATAGGAAGACCCGGAAAGGTTATACAGGTAGGTGGAACCGCAATATGTAGGGGAAAGATGATATCACACCCCACATCTACATATGTTTTTTTAGGCACAACATTGCTTTTGGGCGGTATAGATGACACGACAAGTTATATCTTTTTACAAATTGATCCAGATAGAATTGTACCTACGATTCTTGAACTTTTTAAAATTTTGTTGTAGAGGGCACCACTATTAGAACGGATGGGTGAGCGAAATATCGATCAGCTGTACATGATTTTGGCGGTGATGAAAACCGATTTACGAGATAAATGTGGCATAATGAAGGTTAATTTGGAAAATTTTGTATATGAGTTGTTGATATTGTTATAAAATTAACCCCAATTATGGAAAATTCTTACATGGGGTGATACTAAAACAAGAGTCAGCAAGAGAGCACTGCTGTCAAGAGGCTGGGAGATTGTTAGAAGAAGTAGAAAGGACTATGTATGCTTTAGATTTAGAAGGGTTATAGAAGGCAGAATGGAAGAGATTAATTTTTGAGAGGGGAAGTATGGATTTAAAAAAAATTATGGTCAGGAATATTACAAAGGAGGATAAAAAGCAAGAAATAAGAAAAAAATTAATTATGTTGGTGAGAAAAGGAGAAGATAAAAGAATGAGAGAAAAGAATTTAATTGATATGGGGGAGATGATTACGAATAGTGTGAAGGTGGATAATAAGAATAACAGTGGGGGTAGACAAGAGACCGCAGAGAAGGTGTTTTTACGGATCTGGTCTAATATCTGCCCTAAAAAACACCTGGTCTAATATCTGCCCCAGAATACAGAAAAGAGTGTAGTGATAATAAAAAAATTAAAGAAAACCGAATTTTTGTATGACAAAATTTTTTTATTATTATACAGCAATAAGAAACATAAAACTTGACAATATATTTGATTTGAATTCGTCTTTAAACATTAATTCTGAGAGTAATCCAGGCAGCCGAATTTTACTTATACCATTCATAGACTTTGTAACTCGTTTCATTTTGTTCCAAAAAGACTCAATGTTTTGAGTGTGAACTCCAGAATTAGGATCAACAAAATAAAGGGACCTGGTCTAATATCTGCCCTAAAAGGGCAAATATTAGACCAGGTCCGTTTTTACTTTGATAAAATGGGGCATATCGCTAGAATGTGCTATTTAAGAAAGTCTAAGAAAAAATATTTTAATAAACCAAATTCTGATTATTTTTTTAATTGAGGGTCAAGTGATTCTAGTTTTGTTTTAAATAAAAATATCGTAAAGTAAATAACGGAAGGAAATTAAAGATAGAGAAGTCTAGGAAGGTGTCTGTAAAAATGGGTGAAAAAAACGTAGATCGAATTTAGAAGATGTAGTAAAAGAATTTAAGGAAGTGTTTAGGAAGGATAGCGAAGTTAAATATTGTAAGTTGGAGAAGTATAAGATTGTTACAGAACTAGGGAAAAAGATAATAAAAAGAGGCCAGATAGTTCCACAGGCATATATTGAAAAAACAAAAGTACACTTGGAAAATCTAGAAAAAAGAAAAGTAATTAGAGAATCAAGTTCTCGATGGTGCAACCCAGTTAAAGCGATAGTGAAACCGAATGGGGAGATAAGACTTGTTAGTAATCTTATAGCTTTGAATAGTATAGTAGAAAAGAGGTGAATATAGATTAGCTAATATTAGAGACATTGTTAAGCTACGCAAGGAGCTAAGTGTATGACGGTATTGGATCTTAAAGACGCCTTTTATAGTATAGAAACAGTTGAAGAAGGTAATTATAAGCGGCATTTGAATTTATGGGGAAAGTTTATGAATGGAATAGCATGGTTATGGGCTATAAGAACTCCCCTTGGATTTTGCAAAGAATTATGGATAAAATATTTAGAGATTTAAAAGGAAAAGATGTCAAGATCTATATGGATGACATCGTTGTTTACAAGAAAAGTACTATTGTTCATTAGAAGTTGGTATTAGAAGTTTTGAAAAGATTAAAGGAAAATAACATGAGATTAAACGCGACAAAGGTACAGTTTTCACAGCCCGAAATTAAATTGCTTGGCGTGACATTAAATGGGAAAGATATAGTCCCACCGGAGATAAAGAAGAATGTGGCTTTAGAATTTGTGGTACAAGCGTGTGTATCAGATGTAAGACGATTTTTAGAATTGATGGGTTGGTTTTGAGATTTCATAAAGAATTATGCCGGGTTGACGATGAATCTGACAGATAGCTTGAAAGGCAAAGAGAGAAATTGGAGTTAGAGCAGTGAAATGAATGAAGGACTTTTAAACCTGAAGAAGGTATTAAATGAAATGGGAAAGTTACAAATATCAAATTATAATAAAGAGTTTTTATTGAGGACAGGTGCAAGCAATCTAGGTATGGATACTGTATTATTACAGAAAAATAAAAAGGAAGAGTGGATACCTGTGCAGTGGGCTTCGAAGAAGTTTATATCTACGGGAGTTTGGTAGAAAATATCTGAAAAAGAGATGTATGCAGTATTCCGGGCTGTAAAAAAAATTCGAGTATGAATTACGAGGACGGAAATTTAAAATCGAAACGAATCATAAAGCTTTGCAAGAAAAAAGAAATAAAACCAACTTTAACAACGCCAGAATAAACAGATGGGTAGAGAAAACTCAGGAATCTGATTTTACGATTGAGTATAGGAAGCCAGAAGAAATGATTGTGGCCGACGCTTTAAGTAGAGTTTATACACATGAAGAATTAGAAAAGAAAAGAATGGTAGAAAATTGTAAGGAGAAACAGATAGACGGAAAAAAGGTAAAATATGTGAAAGAAATAGAAGGTATTAAATAATGGGTCTTTGATAGTGAAGAGGAACGAATAATTCCAGATGAGGTGTAGAGAGGAAAGACTATTAAAAATTGTCATGAAGCAAGGAATCGTGGGGGTAAAGCGTAGATTTATAATAAGTTAAGAAAAAAGTATTATTGACCTGGGATTAAAGATAAGATTGAGGGGAAGATCAGAAAATGTGAAACTTGTCAGAGGTATAACAGAAAGTTTAGCGGTTGAAGTGTTTTTACAAGTACTACTAGATATTTAGAGAAGATCGTGTTAGATTTAATAGAGTTTAGAGAAGAAGGATGTTTGGATCGGGTCGGTTATGCACCCCGTAAAAAAAAGATTAACACTAAAATAATTTAGTGTAAGATATAAATTTATCTGACGAAAGGCATTCTTTAAACATAAATTTTAGTAAAAACAATTTTCTCTGCTCCAACGTGAGACCCTTCATCGCCTTAATATCCAACTTTAATCGACTGTTATATGATTCTACATGTTGTGTATGAGTTCCATCTGCCGGATTGATAAAATTATATTTATGGCAAAAGTTCTATGCTCAAAATTTTGATTCCTATCCAATGATGCATAAGCAGCCCATTCATCTAAGCAAATAATACTACCGGGTACCACTACATTAAAAATTATATTAATTAAAGTATTAGAGGAACGATCAAAAACACTGTAGCAAAATCCCAACGCCGGCCGATTTGACGCATCAACAATGCAGAATACCCAACAGGACGGAATGGGCCTGCCCCTGTGATTTTTTACATTATAATTAATCTTTGTTTCGTCTACTTGTACTACGACACCGGATCTCCTAATTTAATAGGATTACCTAAAAAATGTTGCTCTATTTTGCTATAAATCAATTTTCGGATATTTATTAAAGTGTCTTTTGATATATTAGTTAAAAGCAATATTTTACAGTTTTGTAATCCAATAGATAGATAATAAATTGCAACCAAAATGACACGTAATTCGGTTTTAAAATTTGCTAGACACGTATTATATCTTAATTTGGGTGTTGTCTGATACTTAAGACATCTGTAATTAAGGTACCTCCATTCAAATTTATCAACTTTTTTTTTGATCTTTTTAATTTCATAAATTGCTCACAATGAAGGCAAGGCTGCTAAATATGTATAATTCTCCACCCAAAAGCCATAGAAATAAGCTCGACATAAGCAGCGATAAAATCCCATTTAGATGCTCTCTTTCTTCAACCATTGAGGGTTAATAAATAAAAAAAATATCAGGTCGGTTATACACCCCGGCGGGGTGTATAACCGACCTGATCTGGATGTTTTATAATAGTAAAGTTCGATTACTTTACCAGAAGGATATGGATTAGGCCAGTGAAAAACAAGATGGCTCAAGGAGTGGTAGAATTTTTGAAAGACTAATTTAGATAAGGGAAAAAGCCAGAGGAAATAGTGGCGGACAATGGTAAGGAATTTAAAATGAATTATTAAGAGATTTATATAATGGGTTAGAGATAAGTCGTCATAAAGTAAGAGTGAAATCCTATAAAAGTAATGGCAGAGTAAAGAGAAACATAAGAACTATAAGAGGGTGTATATTAAAGAGTAAAAAGAGGAACTTTACGGATAAATTAAAAGAAGCCGTAAAGAATTATAACTTGAGTTTTCATAGCGGAGTCGGAGGTACACCAATAAAAGCAGAGAATGGTAAATCTGAAAAAGGTATGGTTGAAAATAGCCATAAGGTAAATATGCTAAGATTTTAAAAGATGGTATCGTGAGAAATTTTAAAAAAAATCAGACAGTGAGAGTTGCTAAAAGTGAAAATCTGCCTGGTTGTATCAAGCACAGTAAAGGAAGATTTTTGGATGAAGGAAAAACAGTTGAAAAATGTTATGATTTAAAAGGTATCAAAAAAAAATTGTGTGGTAAGACCAACCGTCTGGTGGGGGATGTAAGATATTGTTATAAAATTAAACCTCAATTATGAAAAGTTCTTACATGTGTTTTAATTTAGGAGAAGATTTTTAAGAAAAAAGAGTGCTGAAACGTTCGAAGCGACCTTTAAAAAAATCTTATTGTTCGAATAAAGCTAAACTATTTACTATTTTTTTTAAGTTCCTTAAAACTGTAGTTAAGGACGTCGTTGTTTTTAATCCCAAAAATATTACTAACCCAATACTACTAATTCAATAATACCTTACATAACACCAATACCATCTAACCAAACTACCCAACCCAACTATCTGACCATCATCATTTAAATCCAACGATTCAATCTAATATTACCCAACCCCAATACTACCATATATATCTGTATTCATAAATACAAAAAGTTGTTTTAATGTAAAAAAGCATATATAAAATTAAAAGCCATTAAAATCATTCTGAATAAAATATTAATGATTCCTTTTAAAGGGGCAAAAGATTTTAAAAATTTTAAAAATAATCTTTATGAATATTACATTAGACCATGAATTTTTTTAAAATTTAGATGTCCCAAAAAACTTTCTTATGTGCAATAATATTATAAGCACCGCCATTTTGTGTTTAAGCGGTAGGCTCATTTTTCACCTATTAATTTTTTACCCCTATATTTAAAAATCTATATATATAAAAAGTTTGAATCTGAGCATTTTTTTAATTTTAACCCCTCTTTTTTTAAAATTTGTAAAATTCTTTGTATTTTTTAAATAAGAATACATAAGGGTAAGGTTTATTTCTCTAAGCACAGTACAATGTTTTCGTGCATTTTTCTTTAATTTAATTCAATTTTTTAAACTGTATACAGGTGTCTATAGCAAATTTTTACTTATAATCAAAAAAACTCATTTTGTCATCAAAAATAATATGTATACGCATAAAGGCGAATTAAATCCATTAAAAAGAAAAAGCATACATTGTATTTAAAGTTTCGTTTTATAAACGGGATAGCGTAAGCTATCAATATATATAAAAAGTTTGAATCTTAACATTTTTTTATTTTTTAACCCTTCTTTTTTTAAAATTGTGAAATTCTGTTTTAATTTTTTATTCAAAAGCACTAAAATACAACCTAGAGATTTTTATAGAATTGTTACTAAAAGAAAATTACAAGGTTTTGTGTATTTTTTGAATTTTTTCAATTTTTTTTGTAATTGCAAAATGGTGACTATTGCGAATTTTACTTTATAATGTAAGACATTTTGTACTTTAAATAATGCGCACAAGCCTAAAACCATGTTACACAATAAAAAATAAGAATTATATTTATATATAATATAATCTCGTTTTAAACGGGATAGCATTAACTTGTCATCAATATATATAAAAAGTTTGAATCTGAACATTTTTTTATTTTTTAACCCTTCTTTTTTCAAATTAAAGAAAACGATTTTTTAATAGATAACAGTCTTATATAGCTGATTATATTATATAAATAAAGCTTAATTTTTCTAAAATATTTTCTTTAGTTTTATTCAATTATTCAAATTGTAAAATATGCTCTATTGTCATTTTATAATTTAAAATGTGCAATGTTCAATAATAACAATACATACATGCACAAAGACATATACACATAATGTAAATAAAGAAAGCTCGCATCGAGTTTGAGTCTTGTTTTAAACGGGATAGCGTAGGCTAGTTTATTAATAATTTATTATAAAAATATTTTTTTTAAACCCCAATAGAATGAACAAAAAAGAAGAATTTGAAAATTCCTTATACCAACTTTAAAAAAAATATCTCGCAAAAAGAATTCTCAATGTAAAGTACATCAAAAAATTATTCTAAGTTCGTATACTATCTTGAGAACATGAAAATCATAAATGCTATTTTTTACAAAAGTGGTTTACATGCTCTTCTTCTGCGTGTATAATCTAAATCAACTAGTTTTTAAGGAACAGTTCTGGCAGCTACTTTTTTTCTAATTAATAAAACTTATTGCCAGTTTAGTTGAATCTATTAATGGTCTTTTTAATTTTCTTGTCAAGATACAATAAATTATTGTTATTAAGCAAAAATTTTTGCCCAAACCCCCAGTTTAAAAATACTTTTTTTCTTTTACAATCTTTTATTGTTCTTGAGACATAAGAAGATTATAATTATTTTTTTTGATTCTTTTCAACTTTATTTTAGCAATAATTCTAATCCTAAGCAAAAATTTTTCCTCTTTTAACATAAAAGCTATAAAATCTTTTAATTTAATTGTTTTGTAGGAGAATTAAAAAATACGATTTTTATTTCCAACTAAAATTTATTTTTTAAATTACGCAAATAAAGATTTTTAATCGTTTATTAAACCTGCTGACCTTGTTAAGAATTCATTTTTATGTATTAAAATAGTTTTTTAAGAAATGCTATTATTTATTTGTTCGGTTTTTTTTAAAAAAAAAAAATTTTTTTTTAATCCCCTTATTGTATATATTGTCTAAATAATATTGTAAATTTTTAGTTATAACTCCAGAATAAGACTTTTTCAAGTCATGATTTACATTTTATTTATATTAAATAATTAATTTAAACTGGTTTTTAGTTTTAAAACGGTTTTCATTTTTGTCCTTCTAAGTGCTATATTCTTGAAAATTTTTTCTTACTCTTCATTTTAAACAAATAAAAAGTTTCTTTTTGCAGTTTATGATGTTGAGTGAAAATATACCACATCACAAATTTGCTACAGTACAAATTATAAAAGTAATTAGTATATAATTTTTTTCACATTTTTTCAATATTTATATCATTATGTGATATTATTATTTTTGATAAAATTTTTAAAAATATTAAAATTTTAGAAAGATCTATTTATATTAATTTTTTTTACGCCCGATTAAAATTCATTATCTATAATTTTTAACAATAATTTGTCGTTTCTTTCTATTTAATTGTAGTTTAATATATTTTTTAAATTATAAATAGTATTAGATTAATTGAAAATTATACTTTTGTTACTTGTATCTGCCGTACCTAGGCGGAAACGCGCGGTTGTTGATAATTTAAATGCATAAAGATTTGTTGTACAAGCTAGTCATTAAAGCGGATATATTTATTTACTAAAAACTTCTTTAAATACTTTTTTTAATCAGGGTGAAATCCCATTGTTTATAGAGAGGATCAATGGCATTAATCTGAGTTGTTACAATTATTCGATTGTAAAGGATTATTCATTAGCTTCAAGTATAACTATATCATTAAAAAATTAAAAGATTTTTTATTTTGTAAATATTTACTGCATATTTGTAAATTAAGAACTTGTTCTAAAATTTTCCTCGAACTTTTAATACTATAAATTATTTTCCTGTAAATACTTTTTTATATTCCCATTTCAGTAATGGCAGGGATGACTGGTAAACAACTATCATGAGAGACATAAGAAACGATTTGAGAACACATCCAGGAAAGAAGCATACATCTAATCAATAGTACTGAAAACCTTAGAAAGAATTTTTTTGACTATAGAAGGCAAGGTGATATTGGTCTGGTAGATGGTGGTGAAGAAGGGTTTGCGTCTTTAAGTTTGCTAAATCCTGATCAAAATATCGAAATCCATCTAGGATTAACCAACAGCCTGCAACGATTTTTAAAGAAATAACCCACGAAAAATTTTATTTTACAAATCTTATAAAGGCGCAGGATTTGCATTCTTACAGGGTATAAGCCTTTGGAAAACTTCCTGGTATAATACTAAAAACAGACAGCCAACTCTATAATTTGTATAAATCCTGTAAGCTTTTTATGGAGTATCAAAAAAATATTTATGAAACTATTGCAATGCTGTATCACAAGTTCATGTTTATTTTGCCTAAAACATCAAAGATGTAGTTTGTTTGTTGAAATTTACGAATTACTATAATAATTTGTCAATACGATATTACTAAGAGCCTATAAGATATTTTCTGTATCTAACTATTCCTAAAAATTTTAATAATTGTTTAAAAAGTCAAAAATTAAAATTAATTTTCTAGAGTATTGCGCTTACCTCTAGCATTTGTAATAATAGAGAGACGTAATAACGCTTTTATAATAAAAACAATAAGATCTTTTATACTTAATGTAATAAATAGATAGTGATTTTTTTAAACTTATATGCTACAGGACAAATATATGAAGATTATTGAAAAAATCAAACAGCTTTGTTTCACTTTTACAATTTTATTACAAGCTAAAGTTTACTTTAATTCTTTAATTTATTTAAACGAGCATAGAATTCTTAATTATCGTAGTCATGCTTTAGTTGCTATATTACCATCAAAGTATTTTTGTTCTTAAAATTTAAATTTCTTAGATTTTTAAATCAAAAGTCAAGTTTAAGAAAAATTATTTTTCTATAGGAACAAATTTTAATCATTGATCTTTAAGAAGTTGTAAAATGTTAGAATTTATCTAAATATAAAATCGTTTAGTAATCAATATTTACACAATAAAACAGCTTATATTTATATAAATATACAGAAACAAAATTTTATTAAGCAATTAAATAAATAACAAAAATTTTGTTATTTATTTTAAATTACATTACAATTTAATTTAAATTTAGCACATGTTAAATTTATTATAAAATATCATTATGGGTATCATTTTTATAAGGCGGGTTGTTTAATTTAATGAAGCAAGCACAGATTTTTTTTTGATAAAAATTTGATTTCATTTCAATATTTTATTTAGAGGTGTTGGTGGTTTTTAATTAAAGAAATTTTTTAAAAATTAAATATTTCAATTTTTACATTTGTAATGGATTTAAAATTGACAATGAAACATGAAAAAATTGAGATTATATTTATTTATGGTATATCACAGTAATTATTACTTTTATCCAAAAAATAAAAATAAAATTTGACCCATAAAAATGTTCTTTTGGATTGTATTGATTAGTACATCTAATGTCTCCGATTCTAATATAAATTACTCAAATAACCGATTTTATAGTAACTTATATGACGTTATTAGGACATCAGAGGATACACAACAAAATACAATATTTGGAAACTTACTATGCAATGAAAAAATGCAAACAGAAGAAGGGGAAGATTCTGGACGTGATAAAAGTACTAATAAACTTAATTTAGATAGCGATCTTACATATGATCAACATACTTGTGAAACAGAAAATCTAGCTTTAACGCCAAGCAAAGATAGTGAAGAACTATCTCAACATCCGGAAAGCACAAATTCTCTTAATCAGGATTATTTGATATTGGACATAAGTGCATATACTCCTCAGCACTGGAATAATGGCTTTTGTGCTACAGATGCTTTTCATACCAACAGAGTTGAAAAAAAATTGTCTTCGATTAATAATAATCATAATCCTGCACAAACTAACGTGCATTCTGATTCATGTTTGCTTGGGCAAATGGAAAGTATTCGAGTTGATCAAGAGAATGAATCATTTATTGCACAACCAAATGCTGATTGTACTGATTACTACACAGAATTTAATAATCAAAATACTAACGACCCGGATTTTAAAAATAATTTGTATAAAGAAAATGACAATTATATTATAAGGAAGTCTAGTGAATATGATGAAAAAAAAGTTTTTTTTCAAGAGTTTGATTTTGAAAATGATAATAATAATTTAGTAGATTCCAATTTTAAACATTGTGGTCTTGATAAACATACAGATGTACAAAAAAAAGAAATTAACGAATATAGTAATATCAGTAATACAAAATCTTTAAATAATGATAATTTGATTGCAAATAATACAAAAGAGCATGAAAAAGGAAATGCAGATTTTGCCGTAGATTGTTATTCCTCCAAAAACTTTTCATCTGATGATATAAACATTGAGATTTTTGATATTTTGATTGAAAATAAAAAGATGTTACAAAAACTTAAAGATAAGTTTTTTTTCTAATGTAAGAAAACAATCTCTTTTGAAGCTCAGTCATTTAAACCTAAGCAAAAATTTAATATATTGTAACATTCGCGATTTAATTAAGATACATTATAAATGGTTTAAAAAGTTTACAAAAGCTACTTTTAAACTTCTTTTGATTGATATTGAAAATCTTCTTTTGTCAGCAAATACAAAAAATATAATTTTTGATAGCCTTAAATTTTTTAGAGAAGTTGTAAAGTTTATTAAAAACTTTAAAAGTTATAGTGATTTAAAAAAATACGAAAAGGGTGATATAATTAGTAATTTAACATTAATTGAAACTATAATGAATGAAATAATTTTGAAATTTGACTTTAAAGAGATTGAAATTTTTTTGAATCAAGTTATTCAAAAACATGAAAATCCTGCGTTTTTTGACAGCAAAATTCAAGAGATTTTATACCAGATTTTGTACAACATTCAAAAATTTGAAAAAAAATCAAAACTTATTGTTTTTTATATCACAAGATTGAAAAATTTTTTGAAGAAACTGTAAATAAATATTTTTTTTTATCATAATTTTGCAGAATGGTTGTTAATATCCTTTTAGATGTATTTAAATAATCTAAGAAGTATTAAATATATTTAAA